ATACATACATACATACATGAATGCATACATACATATATACACACACACACATTGACACGTACACACATACATACAACTATATATGTATATACACACATGTACACGCACATACATACATACATACACACACACATATATATATATATATATATGTATACATATATTTACATATATGCATATATACGTAGATCCATACGTATATCCATATATACATATGTACACACATATATATATATATATGTACATATGTACATATGTACACATATGTATGTATGTATGTATGTATGTATGTATGTATGTATGTATGTATGTATGTAAGTACGTATGTGTGTATTCAGGTCGTGGCCCGAGGATCCCAGGTGCCACTTCGATGCTGTCAACCTGAAGACCCCAGCATCCTAGGTCTTAAACCCACAAAATTGGCCTTCATAATTAGGGTTTAGGGTTTAGGGTTTAGGGTTTAGGGTCTTGGGGGGGATGTTATACTGTAACTATAAGAAGGAGCCCGAAAAAACCCTTACTCTAATTCTGAAGTCCCCTAAACTAAATACTCTCTGAGCCCTAAACCCTAAACCTTAAACCGCGGTTTAGGGTTTAGGGTTTAGGGCTGCAGAGCTCCTAGCCGAAAGCTTGAACCCTGAAGTCTAAAGCCTAAGCCTCAGCTTTCAAGGCATAGACCCTAAACCCTAAACCCTAGACCCTAAAGCCCTAAAGCCCTAAAGCTCTAAACCCTAAACCCTAAAGCCTGAAACTAAAAGCCTAAACCCTAGACCCTAAACCCTAAACCCTTGACCCTAAAGCCCTAAAGCCCTAACGCCCTAAACCCTAAACCCTAAACCCTAAACCCTAAACCCTAAACCGACATTTAAGCCTAGATCCTGAAGCCTCGATCCTGCAGGTCCGGAGCCTGGCTGCGAGGCAGGCCATGTCGGCTCCGAAGCAGATCCCCGCGGCCAAACCCGCAACGACCGAGGCGATTTGGGGGGTTTGGGGTTTAGGGCTTAGGGTTTAGGGTTTAGGGGGGCGTCGATGCTTTTGAAAAGGTTTCTGCATGAGGGTGTTTTCAGGGGCTTCTTTTCTTTGAGGGCTTTAGTCGGGGCTTTGCAGGGTGGTTTGAGGCTTCGTAAGGCATTTACGTGGTTTGCGGGTCGAGGGGCTACAGGGTGGGATTGCAGGGGTTCTTGATTTTTGGTGGATTTGCGGTTTCAGGTTTCGGGTTTCGCCTCGTGGATCCTATCTTACGGCCCCAATCCCAAGCCCTCAACTCTAAACCCTAAACCCTCAACCCTAAACCCTAAACCCTAAACCCTAAACCCCAAACCCTAAACCCTAAACCCTAAACCCTAAACCCCAAGCCCTCAACCGGGATTGTGGTGCTTGTGTGAGCGGGGAGCTTGCGTGTGGGGGGATGCAGAGCCAGAGCGTCACTTGGAAACCAAACCTACCCAGAGAACCCAATACCCCTTAATTAAGGAATATACCCTAAAGGTTTAGGGTTTAGGGTTTAGGGTTCAGGGTTTAGGGTTTAGGGTTTAGGGTTTAGGCCATACCCCTTAATTAAGGAATATACCCGAATTTATAGGGGCCTTAATAATAGGATTTAAGAAACCCTGAACCCTCGACCCCCCAGTTCCAGAGTCACCAGAGACTCCAATACCCCTTAATTAAGGAATATACCTTAAATCATATTAGGGATCCTACTATAATTTAAGGTATATTCCGTAATCAAGGGGTATTGGAGTCTTTGAGTACCCTGCTGTTTGCAGTTTAAGGTCTTGGTTCGGGGTTCCTGCATTTCCGTCAAATCTAATGCCTCAGGCGTACGAATTTTGACATGCACAGAGTTATGTCACTACTAGTATAGGGGCTTCAAGAATCACCAAATTTGGGGGTTCCTTATCATAACCATAGTATAATATACTCCAAAACCCTACTCTACTTAATTGAGGCCCCTTTTTTGGGTTGTGCGACCCCAGTCAACGTACCCAGAGAGCCCAATACCCCTTAATTAAGGAATATACCTTAAATCCTAATATTAAGGCCCCTATAATTTAAGGCATATTCCTTAGTTAAGGGGTATTGGAGTCCCTGGGTTTGCTCCTGCGCAGGCACTGCCATCCAGCATTTGGCCCCCAGTGCTCAGCGGTCAGTGCTGGGAGGCTGGCCAAGCATTTCACCGTAGCCCGGGGAGTACCTGGTGTGGCGTAGCCATAACCCTAAACCCTAAACCCTAAACCCTAAACCTGGGGCTGAGGGCTACATGGTAGGAGGTTGTTGATGGAAGGTTTCTGGGTGACTTGCAGTGGCAGAGGTTTGCTGCTTCAGTTGCAGGCTGTGAGGGTGGGGTGTCGCGAAGAGGCGTTTCATCATCCGAAGAGCAGAAAGTCCTAGAAAAACAAACCCACAGCTCGCAAGCCGCAAACCCTACCCTGCGGAATCCCGCAACTCCAAACCCTTCAAGCCCCAAACGTTGCAAGGTGAGTTTCGCAGTCGGTCCCTAAACCCTAAACCCTAAACGTTGGAGTGCAATAAGTTGCAAGGTGAGTTTCGCAGTCGGTAGTGGGGATCAAGGCTTTCTCGTCTTGTGGGGTGCAGGGTTTAGGTTTAAGGGCTGTTGTTTCAAACTCTGGTTCCGCTTTGGGCCCACGGTGACAGCATCTTCTATATCCCATGATCATTGAAGCAGCCAAGGCTGCAGATTTAGGAATGGGGCTTACCGTATTAGTTGGCCAGCCGCCAAAGCAGAGACCCTGATCCGAACCATCTTATTGAATATAGATCCCTACTATGGTAACTTAAATTAAACCGCTTAACAAGAACCCAGACCCTAAACCCTAAACCCCTAAACCCTAGGTAGAACTTGGACCCTAATTGAATCCCTCGCCAGTCCGATGTGTCGGAGCTGCTTGGGCAGATCTCCCCCAATGCCGAAAGTGAAGACACGGTTTCCCGCTTGGTGGATGCCGCACCTCGACTCTGCTTATTGCTTTTGCGTTTTTGTTTTTGTATTTCGTTGGGTTTTAGTGCTTCCAGATTTGGAAAAGCTTGAAGCACGAATCGGCCAGCAAGCAAGTAGCTAGAAAACAAACCCAGACAACACATGGATGAGCAATACATATACATGCATATGTGAAGTAATGAAAGAATGAATGCATGAAAGAAGAATTGAAGGAATGAGTGAGTGAATGAACGACTGCATGCATGCATGCATAAACGAAGAAATCAACACCTGCTCTTCTCTAAACCCTAAACCCTAAAGCCTCAACCGTTTATTTGCATACCGGCATCATCTTTACCAACCGCAAAAGCCCGGTGCCGAATCTCCAAACTCTAAACCCTAAAAGACACTCTACACTCAAAAACCCGAAAGCCTAAACTCCTTTGGAGTCGCCTTGAAGATTTGTACTATAGGAGCTTTAATAATTGCAATGGGGCTTGGGGGCATATTATACTATGATTGTGATAAGGAGCCCCCCAAAACCCTATTCAATCCCTATTCTAATGATTAAGTTATTAAGGCCCCTACCCAGAGAACCCAATACCCCTTAATTAAGGAATATACCTTAAATCCCAATATGAAGGCCCCTATAATTTGAGGGTACAGTCCTTAATTAAGGGGTATGGGGTTCTCTGGGTACCCTAAACCCTCAACCC